TGCACTTCCTGAGCGTACTTCATCTGCCAGGCGCCTCTTGCTGCTGGGGACTGACGCAGGGTGAGCAGTGGGGGGCATAAACCAGCTCTCCTGAACTGACCTGGACTGGAAACCAAGAAGCCTGCGTTCAATTCCTCAGCGCGTGACCCTGGGCAAAGCAGTTAGCCTCTCTGATTTGTTACTCAACTTCAAAAATGAGAATATTTCTGTCTCGCTAGTCACTGATTGGCCTAATGCAATCACAGATGGGAAAATATAAGCTTTGAGATATCAGACACCCATGAGACCTGCTTAGTATTGAAGAGATTTATCTTTGCTTAATGACTCTCTCTCTCAGGGGCAGACCCTCTAACAACTAAATGTCCTCAATAACCCTGAAATTTCTCTATGTCATCAATCTAATGCAACATGAATAAGATTAACAACTGGTGTTTGTTCTTGATTTTTTTTTTTTTTAGTCTGATGCTTGACATTTTACTGTATCACCTCACCTGTGGTTCCCTCCAATCCAGGCCAAGAGAAAATAGCTGGGACTTTGGCTTCAAACATATCTGACTTCCTAGCCCAGTTCTGCCAGTATATTAGTCAGCTACTGCTCTAATACTGCTTGGTAACAACACATCTCCCAACTGACTTACAGCAAATGCAGGTCAACTCTGCTACTGTGGGCTGCCCTCAGCTGTTGAGCTCTGCTGCAGCCTGGGGGGTGGCTCTGCCTGGCTGTAAGCCACAAGATAGGCTCAGTCCTGTTTTGCTAGTTTCGTTTTGGCATCCAGAAAAAAGGGCAGCAACTACTTAGGGGCATGCTCCCCTTTTGGTGGTTGCTGGAGTACCATGTCCAAGCTGAGCCACATAGCACATTTAAAACCTCTGCCCACTAGATATGGTGGTGCATGCCTGTAATCCCAGTGACTCAGGAGGCTGAGGCAGGAGGATCGAACGTTCAAAGCCAGCTTTAGCTATTTAGGGAGGCCTTAAGCAACTTAGCAAGACCCTGTCTCAAAACAAACAATAAAAAGGGCTGGGGATGTGGCTCAGTGGTTAAGTTATATCCTTTTACCAATATTCCACTAACCCAAGAAGGTCACCCGGGAAAACCAGGCTTGATGGGGCAGGGAACAAACTCCACCCACAGTGGGAGGGGCTGAAGTTTCGTGTCAAAGGCAGTGGCTATGCAATGCTGTTGGGAAAACCCATAGTACAATCTACTACTAGAACCATGAGTTCTTGAATTCTGAGTCTTCATTTCATCAATGAAAAACAAATATTCATGCTTCTTAGGGTTTGAAATTATGCATATTTCCTAGTACTTAATGAATGGCAGCTGTTAGTGTCACCAGCTCCATTTCAGAGATGAGAAAACTGAGGCCCTTAGGCAGTGTGGGCCCAGGTTGCTAGAGAAGAACCATATAGGACTTTGGGGATATGCTGGAGTGACCTGGGTCGTCAAGTTTGTAACTTTGGCAATAAGAAACCAACAAACCAAAGAAACTATGACCTTCAGCAGCCCTTACTGTCCTCCCGGCAGGAATTCTTCAGGGAATGTCAGAGAAGCCTTCCTTTTATTTTTTCTCTTTTGGGAGGATGGGGTCTCACTATGTTGCCCAAGCTGGTCTCCAACTCCTGGGTTCAAGTGATCCTCCCTCTTCAGTCTCCAAGTGGCTGGGACTACAGGTGTGCCCCACCTCGCCCAGCTAACAGTGTAACTCAGGAGCCCCTGTTGCCACAGTCCGGAGTGCTGTGGCCCATCTTCCTGACTAGAGAACTCCAATAGCCACCCGCCATCACCTCTGCATCCTCCATGGCCCAGCAGCCCATGAATTTAGAGTAAATACCTGTCGACACCCTAGATTTCCTCCATGATATTCTCGACAGAATGAGACCAGGGAAAGGACTCCCTGGTTCTAGCTCTGAGGCAGTGGGGTCTTGACTCAACCATCCGCAACCCCATGCAGGATCCCGGTTTCCCCATATGTGGAACCAGCAGATGGCAGTCTTGCTGTCCGCCAGCCTGGGCTTCCTCTGCACCCACCATCCTTTCCAGTAGTCTTCTTTTTCAGTTACTCCTATGTCAGAGGCTGCTAGCTGTCCCTGAAATCTCTTCTCTTCTTCCTCACTGATTGGCTGCCCTACCAGAGGCAACACATGCCCATGCACACGTGCTTCTTTGAACTATTTGCTGAATAACCCAGAATTCTGCAGTTTTGAATGGGTCCCAACGCAATTCAGGCTGCAGTGCAAGATACTCTGCCAATGGAGCCTGTGACCCAGCACATCCAATGAATGATGCCTCAGTTGTCTCTGAAACAGGCACGTGGCATTGAGCTTTCAGCAAGTCCCAGTCGGAAAATCTCTGCATACCCCACAATTTCCTCTTCTGCAAATGATAATTGATTGTCCTTTTGAGAAATAGCATCTGGCTTCCTTCTGGGCCCTGTAGAGACTGAACTCCTGCCCACAAGACACCAAGGCTATGTAACCTGGCTGAGCACTCAGTCACGATCTGGGTGTCATCTGACCTGTCAAGCCAGGACATGCATGTACAGCAGCATTTTACCAAGTGAAAGTGACAGCACAATGCCATCTGTTCTGCCACATTGCTGCCTCTTCCTCAATCAGTACCCAAGGTCTTGTGGTGAAGTCCCTGTGGTCAGTTGATGGAGGAAGAAAAAACTCGGGCCTGGTGCCAGGTGGAAGTGGATGGTTACAGCACTGCAGGGTGCCCTGGAAGACACTGCAGAAGGCAGATAGCTTCCAAGAACACAGGTCCAAGCTGTCCATCTGGTCGACTACTTTTCAAGTGGAGATAGAAGTCCGACATATGAACCTACATATGCATGGGATAGAGGGTTTGGCTGGATGATCAGGAACATGGAAAGAAAAGATTGCAGGACTGGTAACAAGGAGGTCTGTGGGAGAAGGCATGTGCGCATAGAATGGGAGGGTAATGTGTCCTACGTGCATGTTCCCCCAAAGGTAGCCACTGCAGAGGAGGTCATGGGTCAATATACCAGGGGACAAAATTCCTTGTTTTGTAGCTATTAGTCATTCTCTTTCCCCAGATACCCTTGTGCTTGTCCAATAGGTTCATGAGAACCGGTGTGGTCACTGAGTTATAAATGTTATAACGTGGACTTCCTCTCCTCAAAACCTATTTAGGGGGCTGAAGACATAGCTCAGTTGGTAGAGTGCTTTCCTCACATGCACAAGGCTCTGGGTTCGATCCCCAGCACCACACACATACATACATACACACACACACACACACAAAAAAAAACCCTATTTAGCCAATACCACTGTTGAGTGCGCAGCTTGCCCAGAGTTATGATATGGAACCATTCATCACATTCATCTACGTGGAACCACTTCCATTATACAGGAAGCAGCAGTTGGTCCTCACTGGCTCTCCATGTGGATTTGCCCTCTCTGACCACTACACACAAGGACATAGGATGTCTGGTCTCAGTCTTGGTATTCCATGTGACATTGCTTTGACCAAAGAATCGAGGTTACAGCAAGGGAAGAGCAGCAAAGGGGTCATACCAATGGAAGCTTCTGGTCTTGTCATGTCCTTACTCTTGTACCCAGAAGCAGCCGGATTCACAGAACATTGAAACCGGCTACTGAAGGCTCTGTTCCAATGCCGGCTGGGAGACACTGCAGGGCTGGAGCACTGACCTGCAGGGGGCGGTAGAAACTGCACTTCAACCTGTCATGGTCCTGGTTTCTCCTCAGCTGAGTAACACAGGGCCAGTGGGGCCAGGGTAGAAGAGGGAGTAGTGACTCCACTATCACACATAGTGCTTTCCATCCCTGAAACCGTGGGCCTAGGCCACTTAGAGATGATAAGTACCAAGGACAGAACATTTCTGTTGGGGAACACATCAGTGGTTCCCTTGCTTGGCCATTTGGAGCCCCTCCTACATTGAAATTCCAGGCAAAGAGGTGTCACCTCCCAGGGTGTGGAGCTCCACCTGATTACCAAGGCACGCTGGGCTTCTCTACAAATGCTAGCATGGAGGCTATGTATGGAGATGGGGTTCTAGGTACCCTACAAAACCTTCCCATCTAATGGTAAAAGATGGTTAGAAAACCACAGTAACCCAAGGGCCACCAAAAGTTAGAGTCATTTCACCAGGCAGACTTCCCCAACCAGCAGAGCACTGTTTGAGGCAAAGAGAACAAACATAGAATAGCCGTGGAGAAAAGAGTAATTGTAAATATCAACAATGGCCTTGGGATCAGTTTCAGAAGGGCGGCAGTTGTGAGGATTTTCTTTGCTTGTATGTGCACACTGTGTCACGGGAATGCTAGTGACAGCTGAATTTGGTCTGTAAGTTATAGCTCAGTGAGGCTCGAGTGTGATCTCTAGACCTGGAAGAGTGGGAGAAGAGTATGACTTCACCCCAGGATATGTGGCAGACAGGCAGGGCCTTGTGAATCTTGTTTTTGGAGAGGGCGAGCGTGTCCCCATTTCACAAGGGCAGTGGATCCTGCTAGGAGAGTAGGCTGCTGTTCTTCTTGAGTAGAGGTTGAATTGCAAGTGAGGAGGCTCTGCGTGTCTGGGTAGCCCAGTGGGACACACAGTACCAGAGTGTCCAGGGTCTCCAAGATCCACCATTGGCCTGTCTTAGATCTGGCTATTTTTAAACGGGCAGATTCTTACCATCTTCTTTCAATATAAAACTATATTCCACAAATTATAATCCCGGCTTAATTCTTTGGGCATTTTAATACATGTTTTCCACTTAGAAACTGGTGTGGGGATGTGCCCTGGGTACCCCCTGAAGGTTAATGTAGGCAAATGTTTGTGAGCAGGCTCTTAAACTGGGAAGTGCTGTGCCTAAGCAAGGAGTGTTTACCTCAAGATCAGAGCTTTGGAAAGTCTCTCCAGCCCAGACCAGCAATTTGGGACCTGCCCTCGACTGAATTGGGGACCTCAACCTCACCTCCAGGCCTCTGGCCTGACTTTGGAAATGAGAGCTGGGTGGACAAACAGGTTTAGAAACGAAAAGCAACTGCTCCTCCTGGATGCTTTATTGGGGGCTTTCAGTGGTTTCTAAGCATGAGCGGCACTGACACCCAGACCCATTCCCAACACAGCAAAAGGCACAGGAAAGTGAGACCCGACCAAGGGGGCAGCATGGAGACAGAGACCCCCCTGCATGCAGCATGGGGAGCCCCTGGAATTGTGGGAAAGGTGGCATTAAAGGAGGTGGAGAGGGACCCACCCCTGCACTTGAGCTGGCACTGACCTTCTGAGAGAAGGCCAACGTGGCTTTTGCTGAAAGTCCCACATTGCAGGGTGGGAAAGCAACTCAAGGTAGGGAGTGCTGACGGCTGCTGCCCGAGGGCATGCTACTGAACGCCAGACTGGACACGCTCAGGAGGAGGGGGTGTGCTCATGGTGTCTGTCCCAGCCATGGTCAGGCCTTGGGGTGCCACTGCCTTGGCCAGTGCTGTCTTAGTCCATGTCCAGGAGAAGAATGAAGCCCCTTCTGATCCTCAGGGGCCTCCACGGGGTCTCTGGCTCTCCAGCCCCAGCCAGCCCCAGGTGCTGGTTGGCAGAGGTGTGTCTTGGTGTTGGCTTTGTCCTGGCAAGAGGGAAGGGAGGCGAGCAGTCAGGTTCTCGGAGCCCCCGGCACCTCCCAGAACCTGGGCCCTGTTGGATGGCAAGGCCGGGGACTCACCTCAGATCCTAACCAGTCCCCACAGTTCCGTGTTGAGACCTTGAATCGAAAGAAAAGGCATTCTGTTTTGTTTCTCTCTCTCTCTCTCTCTCTCTAGCAGAGCCATGGCCTCAGGTCACAGCATTGGCGACGGCTACTTCTACAACTATGGAATGTTTTCACACCGACGACAGAACTACTCAGAACGAGGGGCGGGAAGTGCTGTCCAGTGTTGGAGGGACAGTGGGTTTCTGAGGTCATTGGGAATCACACAGCACAGACACCGACAGTCAGGCGAGCCCCGGCGGCTCTAGATGTATTTTTTCTTGAGGTACCAGTAGGCGAAGTAGCCCATCCCGCCCAGGGAGCCCATGAGGAAGGACGCCCCGAAGAACGATGGGGGCTTCCGCTTGACCAGCCGGAACGCGTTGGGGATGACCGCCGACAGCAGGGTGGTGTGGACGTCGCCCAGGACTTTCCGGAAGGCAAAGCGTCTCTGGACGCGCTCAAAGAAGGACCGCAGGTTGGGCCGGCTGCCGTCCTCCCAGTACTTCTTAGACAGTCCCAGGAACTTGAGGCGGTGCAGGGTGGCCCCCAGGAGCACGTCGGCAAGGGTGAAGGCACAGCCACAGAGCCACAGCTCACACTTCTGCCCTGGAGGAGGAGAGGGGACGGAGCACTCACTTCCCTCCTCAGCCCAGCCTGTGTCTGCCCACCCGGGTGTCTCCCAGGGGCCGTCCTCACCTGTACAGCTTCTGACGTGTTTTTCTGTTTCTTCTCTCTCTCTCTCATCCTGGGGATTGAATCCAGAGGATTCACCACTGAGATACATCCCTAGTCCTTTTTATTTTGAGCCTGGCCTCAATCCTCCTGCTTCAGCCTCCTGAGTTGCTGGGATTATGGGTGTGAAGCCACCATGCCCGGCTCAACTGACATACATGTGTGTGTGTGTGGGGGGGGGGCAGGGACTTGGCAGCTGGACAAGTATTCTGTTACTAGGATCCATCCCCAGACCTTTTTATTTTATTTTGAGACAGGGTCTTGCTAAGTTGCCCAGGCTGGCCTTGAACTTGGCATCCTCTTGCCTCAGCCTCCCAAAGAGCCAGGATCACAGGTGTGCAACACAGGGCAAGGCTTAAATCAACTTCCAAAGTGCAAATTGTGTATTTAAACTCTAGAACTTCACATCCAACTGCCTCTCCCCCAGCTCCAGTTGGGGTTTACTCTGCATTTCAAACTCAAAATGTCCAAAAGAGAAAAAAAAAATGTCCAAAAGAGAATTGTGGATTATGGGTCACCCACAAACCCACGGCAGTCACCCCCGCCTTGGTAGTGGTACTGCATGCTTCTGGTGACTCAGGCCAAAAGCCTTCATGCTACCATGAATTCTTTCTCTGGTCCCCCATAGCTAATGGGTCAGTAATTCCCATCAGCTATATCTTCAAAATATATTTTAAACCTGATGTTTAATTTTACCATCCTAATCCAACAACTTTTATCTCATAACCAAATCATCATAATGTCCCTTAGGAGGTCCTTGCCCCTGGAGTCTATTAGCACAGCAGCCAGACGGATCCTGTGAAAACTTGGATTAGGCCACTTGTCTCCACTCAAAACCCTCTAATAGGGGGCTGGGGTAGTGTCCTCGCCTGGCATGCGCACAGCGCTGGGTTCGATCCTCAGCACCACATACAAATAACACTGTGTCCCTCGAAAAACTAAAGAATAAATATTAAAAAATTCTCTCTCTCTCTAATAGTGTCCCATGATGGTGACAATAGAAGCTGAAGGCCTCCAAGCCCTCCAAGGCCCTGTGGGATCTGGCCCCAGGTACCTTCTGGACCTCAGATTCTACTTCCCGCCCTGTGCTCTTCACCAGCCACACTGCCTCCCTGCAGGTCCTCCTCCTAGGCACGCTCCTCCTCAGGGCCTTTGCATTTTCCCTGGCTCATTCCTCCACTCCAAGGGTCTTTGCTCAAACACCAAATCCCAGGCTCTCCAAGGTTTAGAAATGGAGCAACAGGGAGAAAACAGCAAAGGACAGATAAGGAGCAGCCTCTGAGGGAGGAGATGATCAGGGCACTGGTGTCTGGAGGCTGAGTTAAGGAAGTGTCCCGAGGAGCAGTGCTCAGCTGTGCTCAGATTTCAAGGGTCGAGTAAGAGGCTGGAGCACTGCAATGCATTTAGTGGATGGCAGCCTTGACAGGGGGCAGGGGGACCGGCTGTTGACAGTGACAGCCTGGATAGGAGGAGCTCGAGAGGGGGGAGGAGAGAATAGGAAACAGGGAGCAAAGATGGCTCTTAAGCAGTTTTGCTCTGAGGGGAAGGACAGGCAGTCAGGTGAGGCGGGTCAAGAGCACTTCTGCAAGATGAGAGGGTAAAAGGCCATGGAGTGATGCCGTGGTGGAGGGTGGTGAGGCCACAGGAAGAGGGAGAGGCAATGCGGGGGTTCTTGAGTGGAGGAGCAGGGGTGGGGTCTGGGGCCTGTGGAGGGGCTGGTCTTGGCTAGTTCAGGGACTGTGGTGCATCTTGCTAAGGAGGACAGCATGGTCTGTCATCAAATCTATGTAACCATGGGGACTGAGACGCCCACTCCAAAGAAAAAGCAAATAATCAATCACAAGAAAAGTCTCAATTCTAGAGATGTTCGTGTGATTGACAAAGACGCCTCTTAGCATATTGGTATGGGTCCAAGGAACCTCCTATCTGCGGTCACAATAGGACAAATAGGGCTTGTCCTACTGATGGACACTCCTGCCTGCAGGTAGTCATGGGACCGGGCTGTGAGAATCGCTTCCTAATGCTTTGATTTTCTCCGGGATGTAGGAAGAAAGGGGTCATCAGAGAGTGAGGATGGGGGACAGTGGAGGGTGGGGGGCTAAGGAGATGGTCACAGAAGCCCTCTGGAGATTGCAGTAGCGGGAGGCAGGGCAGGGGTAATGTCCCCAAGGCTGCTGCCCACCAGCTCCAGCGAGTCTTCAGGTTTCCCCAGCCATGTTTAGGGCCAGTGTAGGCCCAGGGCAGGTACTGAATAGGGGACAAGGTCTGGCTAGTGTGATGAAGCCGGCAAGAGAGGTGGGCCCATAGCAAGGGAGTGAGCATACACAGACTTGAGAATAGACCTGGATGGAGCCCAGATACTGGGCCACAAGGAGAACCCAGCAAGTAGGCTGGGAAGAGGGGCCTGTGGGTGGGAGATGCCCCAAGGAGTGTGGTGTAGTTCCCTAAGTCCTTGCGACAACCCTAGCAAGCAGATGTGATTATTATCTCCATTCTAAAGACGAGGAAACTGAGACATGAAGAGGTCAAGTAACTTGGTCAAAGTTGCACAGCTAGTATATGGTAGAGCACAGCCTGGAGTCAAACCCAGGCTACTTTACATCATGCTGCTCTTTTCCACATGCAGATGAACATTGACACCATGTGTTGATGGGTGTTGATTCTGAGCTGGGACATACAAGCATCTCCACATGTACACTCGGCCCCGTCAGTAGGTGCACACTGTGTTTTGGTCTGTGTGGATCTGTCTGCGTGTACCCTGTGCCTGCCTGCACAGATCCATGCAGCTCCTGCTCGTATTTGCATGTGGGTACCTGCACACGTGGGCTTTGTGTCCACATGGTGCATCTCCTGAAGGACAGCGCACACTCACACTCTCGGGTGGCTTGCCTGCAGACCTGCTCTGAGAACTGCTACCCCTCCTGCGTCTGTTTGCAGGCAAAGTACCCTGAGGGACCACAGGTGCCCCTTGGCTGCCGTCTGATGTCTCTGGAGGGCCCCTTCGTTTCTCCTCTCTTCTCCCCCGCCGTCCTGCATCCCTTTCATAAAGCCCCAGACCCAGTCAACCCCCAGCTGGCACTCCTGAGCCTGCCAGTCCCTCCTGCTGCAGACAATCCACAGCGGAGCTGGAGAGTCATGCTCCTCTCAGGGCTGCGAAGCCCAGAAGGACACTGCGGGTCCTGCTGCACTTCTTGGGTGGCCTTGTTCCCACTCCCTGGGACACCACTGCTGTCCTCTCCTTCTCTCCTCACCCCTCAGGACTTTCCCCAGGTCTCTCTCAGCTGACGACTTCATCTTATGCTTCATTCAGAAGAGAGCAGCCTTCAGGTCTGAAAGGCCTCGCCCCCACCCCCACCAGGCACACGGGCTTGGCTCCAGCAGCTCCAGCCTCTGCCTCCTGCTCCCTACCCATGCTGACCTGGCAGGCCCTGTCCTCCACTCCCAGGCCAGTCCCTCTGCGGTCCTCTGCACTTATCCGAAGCTGCGTATCTCTAGTTGGCCTTTCTAGATCCTCTTCTCCTTCTCCAAGTTGCTCTGAGCCCCAGGAGGCCAACCTGATAGAGCTCCACCCCTTTCATCTGGACTTTGAAGTGCCACTTGCTTCAGTCCTTGGGATTTGAATAACGGTGACCCAAGTGGAGGCTGGAAGACGCTTTGCTCTCAAGTTGCTCTTGGCAACCCTGTGACTGCCACCGCATGACCGGGTCTGGGCTAGCCTGCTGGATGAGGAGCAGCAAGTGGTCCAGTTACCTCCACTGGCCCCGCTGACACTGCCAACAGCGGACACGCCAGTGAGGCTGGTGGCTGCTGGCTGATCACAATTGCAGGCATGAAGCCAGCCATCTTACCTGGGACCAGCCCATGCTGCTAAGCCACAAGTCATGATGAACATGTGAAAGGTTCTTTGTGGGAGACACTCAGATTTGGCATTGTTTGTTACGCACGCAGTAAGGCTAACGGATACAACCCTTTCTCAAAACCCTCCAAGAACTTCCCCATTGCACTCAGTGTAAAATAACCTCATAAATGTCAACTTGCCCTGAAGCCATGATCACCCCCTGTCCGCTCCAGCTGTCTCTGGCCTCACTCATATCACTCACCCCACGATGTACCACACAGCTGCTTAAGAGGCCCCCAATTCCTCCCACCTCCCCACCTCCACAGCATGCCCTAGTCTGGGAGACAGCTCCCTCCTTCCTTCTCCCCTAGGTTTCTTCTCTATCAGGTCTCACGTTATCAAACTTGTCCTACCCATTTTACTTTTTTTTTTCTGGTGGTGCTGGGGATCGAACTCGGAGCCTCAGGCATGCCAGGCAAGGGCTCCTCACGGACCTGCACCCAGCCCTGCCCATTTTGGTCTTCCTTTGTGTGTGTGTGGTTCTGGGGTTTGAACCAGGTCTCAAGCATGCTAGGCGAGCCTCCTCCCCCGAGAGCCCCTGGCCTCGTCCATCTTCACACATCACTCTTTGTAACTCTGTTTCCTCATGAAATTGTTTGACCAATACCTTTTTCTCTTCTGGATCATAAACTCCATGAGAGCAAAAGTGGGGTTTGTTTTTGCTTCCAATTTGATCCCCAGGAACTGGCACATATGAGATGCTCAGTAAATATTTGAATAAATAAATGGAAAAAATGAAAGTGGGGCCGGGGCTGGGGCTCAGTGGTAGAGCACTTACCTAGCATGCTCGGGGCCCTGGGCTCAAACCCCAGCAACAGCAAACAAATAAATGAACAAACAAAAAACCTTTCCAGAAAAATGGTAAGAAGGATTTTTAAAACTGCTCTTTCTAGAACATTTTGCCTTGAGTCTGGCACTGTCTGAAGTGCTCAGAGCTCACTACCTTCACAAGTCTTCTTAAACCTGCTGTGAGTTACTTTCCGTTATTTATTTTGCAGATGATCTCGGAGGAGCAGTGAATTCCACAAGTCACAGAGCAAGGAGATGGCTGATTGGGAATCTGCACTGAGGTCATCCGGCTGTATGCTAGGGGTCATAACTGTGACACTATAATACCTCCCGACTGTGGGCTCAGCCCACCAGGAGAGAAGTGGACCCACCTGAGTGTCCCCTAGGGCAGGCAGTGGTGCCCTGGTTGGGGAATGAATGGCAGAGGCCATGAGGACACAGCCAGTCAGAGCTTTAAAACCCACAGCCACTTCCCTGGGCTTCTGCTGCCCCTCAGCCCCGAGGGGCACAAGGACCATCCACACCTCTCCAGTCTGAACAGCTCAGCCATCTCACCCAAGGGCAATGCAACACCTCCACCTCTCAGAAGACCTCCTGACCCAAAGACAGGCAGGCAGCAGGGTCCCCACCTGGGAATCCCTCGAGGAACATTCATCCAGAGCTCTCTTCCAGAGCCACCCACTCTGGCCCCAGTCAAGGTCAGACCCTGAGCCCCCCTTGATCACAACAACAGCTAACATTTGTTGAAACTCCCGTCCTGTGTGCCAGGCCCCGCGGTGCTACCCGTACATGCATTTTCTCATAAATCCTCACAACTCATGAAATGAGAGTTCTCATCTCAGAAGAGGCACCAGAGCTAGTGCCTAAGAACCTAGAGCCAGAGTTTGAATCCACACTCCACCACTTCTCCGTGTGAACTCAGGGGAGCTGCTGAATGTCTCTGTGCCTTAGTTTCTTCACCTACTAAATGAGAATAGTCTCTACCTCCCAGGGCTGTCATGGGTATTGAGCGAGTTGAACTCCATGAACAGTGTTCACAGACAGAGAGTGCTGATAAATACGTACATTGTCCTGGCTGAATTCTGTCCCTTCCTAACTTCACACGTTCTGAACTCCCAGTGTCACAGAATGTGACTGCGTTTGGAGACAGGGCTCTAAAGAGGTGAGTCCAAATGAGGACGTTAGTGTGGGCCCTAATTCCCTCCTCATAAGGCCAAGTCTGAGCCTGCAGAGGCACTAGGGCTGCTCAGCAGAGGAATGAGCTTTGAGGACAGTGGGAAGACACCATGTTCAACCAGGAGGGGCTCAGAAGGAACTTGCCCTACCGACACCTTGACCTTGGACGTCCAGCCTCCAAGACAGGGAGGAAGAAGGTTTCCACTTTTTAAGTGACCAGGTCTATGGTGTTTTGTTTCAGCAGCCCTAACAAACTAATACCTAGGTACCATGTGATTCAAGGTCACCCAGCCAGAGAACCACAGAGCTGAGACTGTCCAACCCAAAGGCCAGCTTTGGACTCACCATGTATTTTGGCCCCTGAAAGCTCTTCTGTAATCCCCCCCCTCGAGCACCCTCTCCAGTGGAAACTGGAAAGTTCCTTCTCGAGGTGTGTGTCATTGTTTACCCAGCCAGCCCATGCTTTTTTCCAGGAAAATCTGAGGCAGCAGCCTCAGTGTGTATGATGATGTCCCTGCTCAGGACTTTAGGTCTCTGTGTGTCTTGAGCCATTAGTTATGAGGTGCTGCAAAGAACACTGAACTCTTTGAGAGGGAACCTGTTCTTGACCTAACACTTATGAGCTGTGTGACCTTGAGCAAGTTACTTCATCTCTCTGAGCCTCAGTTTTCTCATCCAGAGAAGAAGCTCGCCTTTAGCTGTACGTCTATTCAGCTATATGCACCAGGAACAGTGCTGAGTGCTTTTAATGTTCCCCAGAGTCCAACAAGATGGGGTTAAGGTTTTAAGTTGTGTTATTACCATCCCATTTTACAGATGAGGAAAACTGAAGATCCAGGAGAGAAAGCAACTTGTCCCAGGCCACAGAGCAAAGCTGGAACTCTAACTCAAATCTGCCTGTCTCTGACACTGTTCTGCAGCCTCCTGTGCACACAGACAGGCCACACATGGCCCAGACATTTGTACTGTTGAGCACACAAGACTAACAGGCCTCCAAAAAAAGAGCAAGGCAGAAGGGTCCACAGTGAGACTGAGAGAAGGGCTGAAGTCAGTGTCACGGCTAATGGAGCTGAGTGGCAGGGAGAGGGGACTCTAGGCTGGGCTGCAGGAACAAGGGGGTGGGGCTGGGAAGGAAGCTGTTCAAGAGCAGGTGGTGTCAAGATCAGAGCCTGGAGGTCTGGCTGCAGTGGGAAGGAACACCGAGCTGTCCCGTGCAGGGCCAGGTGAGGTGGTGTGGAGGCTGATGACCACCACAGCCGCGTCACCAGCCTCTATTCAGCTGTGTGCTACGCCCTGATCTACGCTCTCTGTGCGGGTGGTCTCATGCAGTGTCCCAGCGTCTCTGGGGCAGGTCCTCCTGTTATCCCCACTCCGTATGTGGAAGCTGAGGGCCATGGAAGTGAGTACCTTGCCCACGGTCACTCAGCCAGTAAGTGACCAAGCTAGATTTCAACCTGGGTCTACCCAACTCCAGAGCCCAGGATCCCCACCCTCTGGGAGGTCTTCTGAGATCTTGGGGGAGAAAGACCCTGGGCAGGGGCAGGGGCAGGGGCAGGGGCAGGGAGGGGTGGTAGAAGCGGGGCCTGCAGCCCCCGCCGCCCCGGGGCCAGCACCCACCCTCGTTCTCCAGCTTCCTCTTCTCCAGCTCGGCCTCGATCTGGTCGAGCACCATGGCCAGCTCCCCGAGGATCTTCTTCAGGTAGCTCACGTCATCATGCTCCAGGATCTTGGCCTGTGGCAGGACGGGCAGGAGCCGGAGGCTGAGTTTGCTCGGTGGCGTCAGGATTCGCAGGGGCAGGAGGGGCTTCACCTAAATCCCTTGGCAAACCCAGCCTTCCTCATCTGGTGCTGGACGGTCCAGTGAGCGTGGCCATCTTGCCCAAATCCCGGCCACGGGGCTGGACACTCAGACCTCCAGCCCCTGGGAGGGTTGGCTGCTAGTGGCAAACAGGTGTCCTTTCTCCAGAAAATGGCTGTCAATCATTGAGGAGCTGCCTTGACCAGAAACACATGGGAGGTTGTCCCCAACCCTACACCCCACCAGGTGGTCTGTAGCCAAGGGCCAACTGATATGGGGGCATTAAAGGGTGGCCCTGATAACAAGGTGGACTGGCTGTGTGGTGCCTCTGGTGCTCCAGAGCTTCCCAGGGGACCAGGCGAGGCGTGGGCCCTTCTTCTTCCCTTTCTCTGCCATCCCCACGGGGCTCCCCTCAGAACCTTCTTACCCAAGAACCTGTGTTCAGTGCTCTGCTTTTGGAGACAGAGCCTCAGGTGTGAGGAACAGGCCCTGGGGTGGCGGTGGCTTGCCCAAGGTCAAGCAGCCAGTAAGTGGCAGAGGACACAGAATTGGCAAAGCCAGCAAGGATTTCCTTTTCAAATCAGCAGCCAGTGATCACCTCAGAGCCGCCTTCTCCAGTTGTCCCTCCCATGGACAGACGGTGGGGAGCGCGGGTGGGCCGGGGCACTCACCATGAGCTTCTTCTGCTTAGACAGGTAGGGCTCCGAGAGCTGGGGCTCCTCTTCGTGGTCCAGTTTCATGAGGTCCGTGGTGGCGTTGGCTAGATGTCCTGAGAAGAGAACAGGAAGAGTCCTATCCTGACCCCCAGGGCCTCCCGTCCTTCCCCATGACCGGGAGTCAGTCCATCTGAACACTGGTGGGGGATGACAACGGCAGCAGCCAAGACTTAGGGTCACTACAGGCTATGACACGGGGCCATGAGACACCACCCTGCCCTAGGCTCAGGCCAGTGGGTGAGAAAGACACCAAGTCCTTGTGACATGGCACAACCCATCTGTAACGAAGAATGGCACAATGCTGTGGGGCCTAGAGGGCCCCCAGGAAGCCTCACTGAGGAGGAGACAGCGCCTGGTGAAATAGCAGGAGATGCCGGAAACAGGCGGAACTGCAAACCCAGGCCTTATTGTCCTCTAGGCCTCCCTGCCCCTCTCCCACAGCACCCGGGCCTTCCCTGCCCTCTAAGAGCTGCGGGACCCACCTTCTCCACCTCCTGATTGCTCCCTCTTTCACTGAGTGCCCCAGTGTTCCTGTCCCTGGTGATGCAGTTCAGTCACCTTGAGTGTACTAGACCCCACCAAACCTTTGGGGCTGGCATGATCGACAGCTCCATGGGCATCTTCCAGAAACACCCCATGCAGGGTCTGGGGTTGTGGCTCAGTGATAGAGCACTCACCTAACATGTGTGGGGCCCTGGGATCGATCCTCAGTACCATGAAAAGATAAATAAATAAATGTATTGTGTACAACTAAAAAGTAAAAAAAAAAAAAAAAGAAGAAGAAAGAAAAAGAAATACCCTGGGCACCCAAGCCCTTCTGCATCCACTTAACTCCCTTTTAAGTACAGCATTTTGGGTGATTTCCGTCCTTCTTTTTTCCCCGCTCACTGGTATATCTTTGAGAACACATCTGTCATATTTTAAATAGTGGCATGCTATGCCATTATATGGTAGTGCTTATTTGCACAGTTACTTATTTGCACAGTCCCCAACCCATGGCAGGGGGTTAATTTCCAGCTGTGTTTCCCACTATGACCAACGATGCTGTGGTGACTATCTTTGTACTTCTTGGGGCATATGTCCAGGTGTGCCTGTGGGCCAGTCTCCAAGGCGTGAGCTTTCTGTGCTTGGTCAGTGCCCTCCAGAGAGTGCCCGTTTTCTTAGTCTTGCACTGTAATTGCTTGATCTTTGTCTTTGCTCCATGGAACTGAGACTCTGGGACGGCAGGAGTTGTGTCTAACCCTGTCTGTTCCCAGCTCCCTCCTGGTCTCCTAATGTTGTCGACTGAACAGGGAAGGCCACATGGATAAATTCTGAGTCTTGTTCAAGGGAATTCTGGAGGGACAGGACTGATGCCCCTCCCTGCCTTTGAACATGAGTGGGACAGAAGAGGATGTGAGAGACGGGGGGAAGTGACCATTTACCAAACACCTATGATCTGCTAGGGCTCTTCCTGTCTCTTGTGACTATGGGACCCCAAGGTGTCTGCAGGAGCCTGGACCGAAGTCTATAGACAGCTGGCAAAGGGCCAACGGAGACTAGTCCCACCCCCAACCAGAGACCCCACTGGGGCCTGCCACACCTGGGCATCCTTCCTGGGCAACCATGACCCTGAGTTCTCTCAGGGCCCTTGGCCACCAATGACAGTCTGTGGCTGGGATTTCTGGGGGAGGCTTGCAGCTCCCCACCAGTAACAAAAACCTCTGCAGGACAGGCAGCCTCTTCCTGGGAAGGTGGGAGGGCGGGCTTCCAGAGATGGAGGGCCGCAAAGAGGGAAGAGAAGAATGGCGGCGGGAGGAACCCCCAGTGAGAGACAGGGGCAGAGAGAGAAGCAGGGACAGAAGAGGTGAGAGGAAGAGCAGAGGCAGGAGGAAGAGACCCGGGAGGGGAGCAGGGTGCCCAAGAGGGACTCCTGTCCAATGGAGGGGTGCGCGAGGGTGGGGCAACAGTTCCCGCGAGGCAGGGCACTCACTGCGGATCTCGGCCGTGGCGTACTTGGGGATCATGGAGTCGGTGGTGAGCTCAGGGTGCAGGATGCAGCCATGCGTGTAGGCGTCCATGGGCAGCGCGTCCAGCAGCTCCCGGTACTGCAGCACCCGTGCGTGCTGCGGGCTGCCCACCTCGGGCATCAGGGCCACCACGTGCTCTGTGGGGCACAACCAATGGGGTAGGCGCTGATCCTGACTCAGCCGCCAGCCCCCCAGCATCCTAGAACAAGGACCGTCACAGAGAAGGCCCGGTCACCCACTTCCAGGGCTCTGCCGCTGGCCCACCCCGGGATCCAGAGGTCCAGTGGGGCCTCTCCTTGCTGGGCTCTGCCAGGCTGTCCCTACAAGGGCAGCTCCTCTTAGCCTGACTGTGGCCAGGAGGGACCTCGGCCTCGTGCTGCCTAATTTCATAAGGGACTGGAAACCTGGATGTTTAAGCTCAAGTCTCCTTGATTTTTAACCACGGGCAAGTTCATTAAATATATATGTATGTATCCTTCTATATAAAATCATACATTATATGTATAAATTACTCGCCGGTGACTAAATATCCACGGGCGTGTGTTTTCTCTTTGTGCAGGGTGTGGAACCCAGGGCCTCTACCATGGATCCTCACCCCCTCATTCCTTTTGAAGAGCACCTGCTGGTCCCTGATCCCCTCTCAGTGACCGCCTGAGCCTCTGCCTGGGCAGTGATCTCCTGAGCCTGGGGATGGCCAAAGGGAGGGAGAGGACATAGGGTCCTGCAGGGCCTGGGGTGTTAGGACCCTGCTTGTGTCTATGGGGTTCCTGTGAGTCTGGCCCCGGGCTGGGACCTGGGAAATCTGGACCCTGTCTTGGGGACCTGAGGGCCTCCTAAGGGCCTGTGTCTGTGCCTGTGACTGCAGAATTCCTGGGGAAGGGGGCTGTGGCCCCTGGGGAGAGCCGTGGCCATACCTCCCGTGAAGGTGCGCTCTACGTAGTCGATAATCTGGTTGTAGTCGCTGATGATGTTGTCCCGGTGGATGATGACAGGCACCTCCTCGCCCAGGTTGAGCCGCATGAACCAGGGCTCCTTGTGCTCGCTCTGCGGCAGGCTCACGTCCCGCTCCTCACATGCCAGGCCCTTCTCGGCGATCACCAGTCGCACCTGCAGGCGCCAGGGTCAGAGCGGGGAAGGCAGGCGGACACGAGGGACACTGCCCAGGCGGGGCAGGGCGTGCGGGGAGGGAGGTCAGAGGTCACACACAGGAGGGGGACACTGTTGCTTTCAGCGCAGTCTTGGGCACAGGGGCGGGGGTAATGTCTCAGGGGCATATATTGGGCAGTGGGGGAACATGGGCCTGCCCGGGGTTGAGAGGTGGTGCTGCCGCTGTCTAGGGCCTGGGTTTTACACCTGGACACACCGGGATGGGACTCCTAGCTGGGCCATGGGGGCAAACTCTTTAAGTGTTCTGAGCCTCAGTTTCCCTATTTGCAGAATGGGGGTATCACCAGTCCTGGCACACTTTGCCAGTGTGGGTCTGGCACATAGATGGCAATTCGTGATTATCATTATCGTGATCTGACACTTACTCTGGTCTCTGGAGGTAGATCTGTCCAGGAGATTCACAGAAATTCTAATCATTGTCATAATCAAGAGCTAAATTTCTCAAATTAATTGGGAACAAAGTGAGGTGAAAAATAATTTGCCAACATGAGTTGAGGTTTTATTGCTTCCGAACAAGTGCTTTCCCATCTGGCTGTCTGCTCACAGTAGCCTCCCAGGGGAAGACGGAACAGGGAATATTTCCCTATTTTCCTTGATGAGAAAACTAAAGCCCAGAAAGGGCAAGCAACATACCCAAAGTTACACAGCAGACATAAGGCTAGCAACAATGGTTTCTGACTCTCAGACCAGTGAGTGCCCTTTCCTCTGAGGAATTCCTCCTGGAGTCCTGGGCTTGCCCTCTCCTGAGTCCTTCCTTGTCGCTAGGGTGTTCCAGACAAACACCTGAATTGGCAAAAGCCAACAGCCTTGAGGCTGGGCCTGCTCCTGACTCAGCCCAGTATTTCTTTTCTTTTTATTTATTTTTTTTAAATGGATCATTTATTTATTTATTTATTTGTGGTGCTGAGGATGGAACCCAAGGCCTCACACATGCCAGGCAAGCGCTCTACCACTGAGCCATGACTCTAGTCCCCAGCTCAGTATTTCTGAGCTGGAAACAATCAGGCCTGGTTAGAGATCACCTAGTCCAGTTGTCTGTAACTGTGGATGGAGACTCTAAAAGAAGGAGAAACTCGCCCCAGATCCCCTGGCAGGGGGATGGCAAGGGATCCCCCCCTCCCCCCGCAGTCTCCTTCCCACATTCTACTGCAGTTCTGGGAAGAAGGGGGCACCCCTGAGAGAAGCAAAGGTGGGTTCTCGCTGAGCATCCCGGAGTCCCAGGCCTGGGTGCACTTGGCCTCCCTCTCAGTGCCAGCAGAGGCAGCATGGTGGCAGGGACAGGGCCTTGGAGGGTGTGGGGTCAAATCCCTGCTCCAGCCTTGCTGGATGGCCGAGTGGCCTCATTTCTGTGTGCCTCCTGCTCCGTGAAGTCCCAGAGCGACTCCCTGAGACAGCTGTGTGAGGGTTCAAGGCCCCAAGCCCTGTGCCACATTTCAGCTCCCCGGTTTAGACAAGGTTTCAGAGGCCGGCAGGACTTGAAGCCCAGCTGTGCAGCATATTTGCTATGTGACCCTGGACACGTCAGGCAACCTTTCCGATCTCTGATTTTTGTGAAACGAGGACTGTGATCTATTCCTTCAAGGCTGGTGTGAGGTGGAATGGGTGCTGTGTGTGGAGTCCCAGCATGGAGGTTAACCTGTGGGTGCTGAGCACGCGCCTGCACGACCTCCCTGCACCCTGGCTGGCAACCTGGAGCACCCCCTGCCTGCCCTCTCGGCTAACACCCCTCCCACTGGGCGGAGTGCGGAGGGGAAGTACCGGGGGGCCCTCGCCCGTGCTCTCCACAGATGCATCTGCTCTGATGAAGCACTGGGTGAGCGTGTTGGTGTGCGGGAGCCAGAGCGTGTGCAACTTGGGTCTTGGCGCACACGCATGGCCCGTGCCCTGCAGAAACCCGGAGCTCAGGGGTGGCACCGTCCACCCTTTTCTTCTTGTCCCTCCTTTTCCCCTGGGAGTCAGGCTCCACCCCAACCGCCCAGCCAGGCTGGGCCCTCACAGATGCAGCTGGCCTTCCATCCCTGCAGGCACCTGCTCCTGGCGACTCCCCAGGCTCTGCCCCTGGCTCCAGTGAGGGTATGGGGCTGCTGCCGCCTGGGGAGGGGACTATCTTTAGAGGCACAATAACCCTGCCTGGAGCCGCCTCAGGGTCACCCTGGCAGGTGGCCAAGGAGACTTTCACCTTCAGCCGAGCTGCAGGCCAGAACCCGGTGCCAGCCTGCGGGGGAGGGAACCTGAAAAGAACCAAGCCCAAGGGAAGGGCACAAAGCCACCAAAGCCATCTGCCATCTCTGCCTCCTGGAGGCTCCACCAGACGTAGGTGGTCACCACCCCTGTGATGAGACTTCAGCCATTGCCCACTGGTGCTTCAATGTGAGGGGTCAGACACTGTCCCTTCTTAGCCAGGCCCTGTTTATGTGGTGCACTGATTTGGCATCTGTACCCAGTCATTTAGTTGCTGTGTGACTTTCTAAAAGGCACTCAAGTCTCTGAGCCTTAGTTTGTTTATCTCAAATATCTTTCCCCACCAAAAGAAAAAATTAACAGATTTTTTTTTTTGTTTTTTAAAGCAGTTATGTGTTTGCAGAATCAAACACTTTCTTTAGGTAACAACTTATGGCTTACAAATACATCACTTCTTAACAGTTGTTCATTGAGGGCCTGCTATGTGCCAGGTCTTGTTCCAAGTGCTAGAGATTCTGAAATGAATGAAAGAAACAAAGATCCCTTCTAAGGTGCTGATGCGCTAATGGGGGCAGATGATAAGCAGTTAAAATGATGAAACCAAGGAACAGGCAAGAGCTATTGGGATGCAAGCATGTCAGGGAGATGGGCTGCAGTTTTAAATAGGAAGGACCATGCAGGGGGCAGTGGTCCACGCCTTAATCCCAGCAATTTGGGAGCTGAGGCAGGAGGATCACAAGTTTGAGGCCAGCCTGAGTAACTTAGCGAGAGAGACCCTGTCTCAAAATAAAAAAAATAAAAAGGGCTGGGCTCAGTGGTAGAGCACCCCTGGATCCAATCCCCAGGCCCACAATACATAAGTAGAGTGGTCCAGCAGGGCAGGTCTCTCTGAGGATGCGACCCTTGAGCAGAAGTTGAACAAGGTGATCACACTGGGATCAGAAAAGGAAGGTCCAGGCAGAGGGAATGGACGGTGCAAAGGCTCTGAGGCAAGATCAAGTGGATGTGTTTGGAAGTCAGCAAGGAGGATGAGGGCAGGATGGTTGGAGCAGGTTCAGGGAGATGAGGAGGGAGGAAGGATCTCGAGGAGGGGCTTTTCAGCAAGGAACCATGAGTAAATTCAGGGACTGTGTGAACCTTCAATGAGAAACTGACATGTTTACTTCAGTAATGGAAACTGATGCGGGCCTGCCCTTCTTCTAGGGATGTAGGCGATAAAGTACCGCGGTGTCACCTCACTTGACAGTTGTTGCAGTCACCTCGAAATATCATGCACACTCATCGAGACTTCAACATGACAGCAGCGAGCAGGCCTGCCACTAGGCTGTGTTATATAATGGGTTAATCAGAAACACACATATCATTATATAACACATGTGTTTTAAAAATATTTCGATAGCTGTACTTCAATATGATTGGTTTCCTTTCTACTCTATAAATCTTAGGTGTTTTATTTTATTCAATTAAAGACAGTAGCTGACTAGGGCCCATAGGCTTCCCCTGACTTTGTCCTGACCAGGCAAGATCAGGAGCCTGCAGTAGGACCTCAGTCCACTGGGAGGACTCTGGGTCTTTCTTGGAGGGACTGGGGAGGCATAGCAGGCTTCTGAGCAGGAGAGGAGTGGAATGTGGTGCTCTGCTGGCCCTGTCAGTTCTTACCTGTGGGCCTTGGGCAGAATAGTAAATGGCCAAGTGCAGCAGAGACAGACTGGGAGGCGGGCAGTGCTTGGGAGTTTGAAAGTGAGGCTGCTCGGGGAGGCAGAGACCATTCTCCCTGCCCAGTGACAGGACTGGTTCCTGGTAGGAAGTTGGGTCTCTTACCCCAGGAACAAAGGCTGGGCTAGGGGCTCCCCAGATCCATCCAAGACAGAACCTGAGAAGGTGGGGTAAGGGACTCTAAACCAGGCTTGGGGCAGCAACCAGAAGAGGTCCTCAAAAAGTTGCCATGGTAGAAATAACCGCAGTATCTACAGCTAACTCTCACATAGCACTTCTGCACTGTTCTGAGAGCAGCACGTGCATTTACTCCTTTAATCCCTACAAAGCCCCAGCAAGGTGGGTACTAACACTTACTGATATCCTTGACCTATACAGGAGGAAGCAGGCACAGAGACAGTACATAATTTGCCCAAAGTCACACAGCTAACAAGTAGCAATCTTAGTTTTTTTTTAATATTTATTTTTTTAGGTGTAGATGGACTCCTTTATTTTTATGTGGTACTGAGGATCGAACCCGGGTCCTGCCTGTGCTAGGCGAGTGCTCTACTGAGCCACAATCCCAGCCCCCAATCTTAGTTTTTTTAAGAAGCTGGCAGGTATGAGTGAGGACAGAGGGACGCACAAAGGCAAGGGGCACAGAGATAAAGGGTTGTTCTCCCTTCTTAGGGAGGAGGGAGCAAGGCAGGCTGTACCACCCATCTACTCCTTTTTCCCCTGGGGAAGCTGAAGACCAGAGAGGGTCAGGCCACACAGCTGTTCGTGGGGCTTCCAGCGCTACACTCAGAGTCTGATGCCCTGCATTTCTTGCCCCCTCTCAAACTCACTTCTACTCTGAAAGGCAGAGGAGGCTGTGCCAGGAACACCCTCCGAAGCCACTGTTTGCACCACACATTCAGAGCCTCCTTCAAACCCCTTGGCCTCCAACTATCATATACGGTGGTGCTTGGAGGTGCACAGTGTTAAGCATGTGACTGTAGGTGACAGTATCCCATCCTCACAGCGCTCTGAGCGGGTACTGCCATTATCTGCACACAGATGAGCCAAGTGAGACCTAGAGAGGAGGGACGCCTGCAGAGGGACACAGTGGCTTGGGGTTGGGCCTGGTCTCTAGCCGATGCCACAGCCTGTGTCTTTATAATGGAGGCCAGCCCTGGGTGAGCACATCCTACATGCTATCCCAGGTGATTCACATGGGTCCGTCTGCTGACTTGCAATGTCCTTCCTGTCCAGGAGCTCTGTCATTATCCGTAGGGAGCAGGTTGGATAACTGGGGCACAGGAGATCAGCACCTGAATGGGGTTACCTGCTGGCTAATGGCAGAGCTGAGTGCCAAGCCAGGGCTCCAAAGCCTGGGTCTCCAATAGCCCCCGCACCCAGCGGAGCTACTGTCAGCCCTGGAGGTGGGCTGTTTTCTGCTATTAATACCTCATGTGCCATTAGGGACAGGCTTCTCAGAGATCCACGGTGGGGCCTCTCTGTAGGCAACCAAGGCGCTTCAGGGCTTTGGGAAGGCAGGGAATGTGCCCGCTGGGCTCCTGCTCCATGTCGCGCACTACACCTCTCCATCCTCTAAGACTCCCATGGATTCTGCAGGGGAGGACAGAAAGTCTCCTTTTCCAGATGAGGATGTTGTGGTACAGAGAGGCAAACCAACTTTTCCAAGGTCACTCAGCCAGTAAGCAGCCAGGGTGAGACTGGAACCCAAAGTCATCTTTCTGTGAGGCTGTCCTGCCCCTGGAATCCACCATGGGCCCTGGGCAGCGGGAAGGCCCTCGGCGGGGGAGGAAGGCTGATGTCCAGCCTGGGTTGTTCCACAACTCAGTCAAAAGTGGAGTTGCAGTGGGTGCTCCCATCCCTGACTGCAGAGCCACCTAAGCCCTGAGCTCAGGAGGAACAGGAAATACTCTATGAGGCCCTCTTGGGGATGGTGATAGGAGATGTCTTCCTCCTGCTCCCTGTCCAGTCTCAGCCACTGGGACCTGATTCCCAAGGATTGGGTGGAAGGAGATTCTAAAATCTGGGAGACAGTCTGATTCATCTTCAACCCCCCAGTACCTTAAACAGAGTCTGGCATGCAGTAGGTGCTCAGCAAGCATGTGTAGAATTTATAGACTGGTCCCAGAATGACCTTGCATAACTCTGGCCCTCCTTTGCCTAGATGTGTGTGTGTGTGTGT